GTAAGTTTTTGATGGCAGAGAGAGAGAAAGAGTGTGAGGAGGGAATTGAATTCCGGTTTTAATTCAAAGTAAGAATGACAAAAATGACCATTGAATGATGAATGAATTTCGAAAAGGTCTAAAATCGGTTTGGATGATACTCGTCTCGATTCTTGATTCGCGAGGAAAGAGAATCGAGACGCGAGATACGCGATGCGGTCGAGGTCATCGTCTACTGGCGACCCATGGCTGTGGTTGTTGACGGTACTCTAGCAGCGTGGGAACCCACGTGACGCGTGTATTGGGAAACGATCGCGAAGATAACGACGAGAACACCAGCCAGTGACAAATCGTTACGAACAACTGGTTACATCGTCCAACGACGAGGGGAGGAGAACACGCCGGTTGGTTTAGGTTAGGTACATTCCGGCCGTATTTCACATTCGCTTTAGACAGATACGCGATCTCGTTGATTTTCATTTTCCACAAGACGAAAGTCTCTCTCGATTTGTGTTTTTGTTTGGAGACGGGAAGGTGACTCGGGGGAACAGCAATGCAACAGCAACGGTTTAAACGTCGTTGATCCTCGCGCCATAAATGTTCGATCATAGTCGTTTCTTACGGTTGATCGCGAAATCGCTGGCGCGCTCTCAACGTCAACGTGCGGAGGTTCATTCATCGTTTGGTATATATTTTCGATCCGTGCCACCCCTTCTCTTCCGCGATCGCACTTGTTGCCATTGAGCGCCGAGACGAACCGTACGTTCGCGCATAGATCATCGACGCGACACGACGTGACACGATTAGACCCAGACTAAACCGGATCAGTGACGAGACGAAACGGAACGGAACGGAACGGAACGGAACGGAACAGAATGGAACGACGGGGAGGGGCGAGGAGAATATAACAGAAAGAGCGAGAGGGAGGGAGAGAAGGAACGAAAGTCAAAAATTGAGGGGAATCGTGGTTATTCTCAAACTGAGAGAAGTATTATTCTGGGTTCGCGCGCAAGAGGAATATGTAACCGAGAAAAATGGAGGGAGGGGGAGGGGGAGGGGGGAGGGGGGAAGGAGTTAGCGGTGCTAGATGAGGCGCGACGTGGTCTGAGGAAGAAAAAGGCGAGTAAAAATAAATCTCGAAAAGCACAGCGGGGGGATCTCCTCGATCCGAAATAGATCGTAGATCACCGACCGTCGTTATCTGTCATTGGTGATCCATGATCCACGATCCGTCGTCAATTGTCGGAGCCGCCGGTTAAGCAGAGGCGAGAGCTAGAGAAAGAGGGGGAGAGCATAACGTTTGTTGCACGGTTTCTCGAGCCTCCTATTTTTAGACGGCCCGATCGAGCATACGGGCATCGTCAAGGCCGCGCGTTGCGAAACGATTATCGGTGGCGGTGGCACATGTTGCGCCCGCGCTACCCAACCGAACCAAATCGACCCGACCCAACTCAACCCAACCCAAGTCGACCCACCTCGACTCGACTCGACTCGATCGAATCTCTTCCTTCTCTCGATTTTCCTCAATCGTCCGCGTATCCGTTACCGTCCCCCGTTCCGCTTAACCCTCCGCCTGCTGTGCCGGAGTCAGTTTTGAGTCGGGTGTCTGTCACTGTGTTGGTACAATATCGTTGAGGACTTCGGTCTCGAGCGACCGTTACACTCTGTACAGTATCGGTGAGCCGTCCGGACGACCCTAAATATGTATATTAGTGGGATATCCGTGTGAGTCAGAAATGACTCCAGCACTGGACGCTGAGGTTCAGTAGTCGGAGGATTAATCACACGGCTGAGACTCGGATCGTACGTAGTATTTTTTTCGACAACAATCAGAGGGGTAACGAGCCGCTTTTCTTACTTCTTCCGCCGTACTCGTCGACGAGCGAAGACGTAGGATGTCGGGGTTCTTTGGTTATGGTATTTGGTACGTAAGCCAAGTGACGGCTTCTTATGTGCGACCAATTTCGTCTGTTGATATGGACTACGGAGACCAGCAACAGCAGCATGATTCCTATGCACTTGATCGTCATGATTTTTCGCGTGTCGTGCTCCGAGGACGCGGTCCACATTAGAAACTCTGCAACGTCCTTGCCCATTTGCGACTCGGTCGCCGGCGTACCGTCGTCGTACTCGACCATCCCCTGATGGAGCATCTGCGAAGCAAACAGGGGGAGGACAGAGTAGAAGAAGCGGCGAGAACTCGTACGACTGTGTGTGCATGCTTTGCGTACTCGCGGCATCGTCGTGAATCCTCCGGTAAAGTAGACGTTGAAATATTGGTCCTCGCTACCGGAGATCCCCGCCGGAGGTTCCATCCATCCGGTCAGCAGGGAAAACACGTAATCCACGCCGCGTTTTCGCGTCAGAACCACGTAGGTAAGATCCGGCGGGGAAGCGCCAAAGTTGGCGGCCCTAGCTGCTTCCTCGTTCGGATACGGAGACGGAATTTCGTCGGTCAATTTGCCCGGTCTGGTGTAATAGTCGCCTCGTTCGTCGGGACCGTCCTCCACCTGATCTCGAGACGAAGCATTTCTATTTTTTTTTTTTTTTTCTTTTCTTTTTCCTACAAAAAGTCGAGAAACCTCAAACTCGGCGGCGATCCGTTTAACCTCTTCGGCCGTGTGCGTTACGTCGACCAAGTCGAGGAAACGAACAAACTGCAGGCTGTGACACGCGTGGCACACGGTGCGATAAACCTGCCATCCTCTCCTCAGAGCGGCGTGGTCGAACGCCTTGAACACACCGTTGAACGCCCATGGATACCTCGGCAGCGAAATCTCCGGATTGAGTCCCACGGACGCGTTCACCGACCACGGCCACTCGGTCAGAAAGTAAAGAGCCACGCCGCAGCTACCGACCGTTCCCCCTCCGACAAGTCCGAGCCACGCTTTGTTTATTTTGCCAAATCGACCGCCGCTACGGAATTTCCGAGAACAGAGTACGGACAGGAGGCGACGAATCCTACCGATAATCGCCATCGTGCTTCCTCGATACAATCGAAAAAACGTTAGTCGAAAATTCGCTCGTCCTTTGTCGTCTGCAACGATGCGTCTTTATCGACATTGCAGCGATATTGCGACGCGAAGATACCGCGGCTGTAATCGATTCGTTCACGCAAGTAAACGCAAGTATTTGCAAATATTCGCAAGTTGGTTTTCGTTGATTCGCCGATTCGTGTGTAGCTTCTCTAGAGGTTACGTAACGAGCGACGTTACACAACCTTTTACAATAAAGGCGTCGCGAGTGTATTTCCGCGACGTTATAAATAAACTACTCGGTTATGCTTGGCATTATGCATGCGCACATATTGCCGAGCTTACTTTGAATCGGTCCTACACCCCCTGTTTCGTACGCAGCTGTCGTTAGGACGAGCCGCTCGAACAACGCGCTCGTTTGCAAACTACACGTGTACGCGCATGCATCCATCTGCGACTTTGCTCCGTCGTTTTCTCCAAAGACAAAAGGAAAAAGAAAAAACAGAAAAAATTGCGATCGAGGAGCATAACTGACCAACTGACAACGAGTCTCTTCATTTTGTTGGTACAGTTAGGCTAGGCCTGTTAACACATTGTGGACGGGGAGACGAGAATTCCCGTGTTTCAACGTTGCGGACGGGGAACGCTTTTTTTTTTTTTTTTGCGTTGTAGGGGACACGACCCAGGCAACGTTATATATAATTTATATTATATAATATTACATATAACATATAATTACATATTACAATGTTATACAATTTTTCAAGAAGTAGGGAAATTGTTTCCCAACATGTCACACCAGACGTTACTAGAGGTATTTCCATTTTATTTAATGAAATTCCTCTCAAATGAAAAATAATAATTTTAATTCTTAATAAAATGATATACTTGTTAAATGCTATACATTCTCTTGAACCCTTTCTTAATTGAATATATTCAAATAATTAAAAAAATACAAGAAAATACAGGCTATACGTTTATCAGAGCATACCGTCCTCAATGTGTTAATATAAATATAAAATAAATAATAGTTAAAGTCTAAAATACATAATAAATATAGTTTCTTAAATATTACTATAAAAAAAAAAAATAGTAACATTTAAGAATATTTCATCAGTGCGAATTAAAAAAGTGCATATATGCATTGTACAAAGTTGCTTCAAAAATGCGTGGGCCCTGGGAGCATAAATATAAAATAAATAATAGTTAAAGTCTAAAATACATAATAAATATAGTTTCTTAAATATTACTATAAAAAAATATATAGTAACATTTAAGAATATTTCATCAATGCGAATTAAAAAAGTGCATATATGCATTGTACAAAGTTGCTTCAAAAATGTGTGGGCCCTGGGAGCACAAATATAAAATAAATAACAGTTAAAATCTAAAATAATAATTAAAGTCTAAAATACATAATAAATACAGTTTCTTAAATATTATTATAAAAAAATAAATAGTAATATTTAAGAATATTTCATCAGTGTGGATTAAAGAAGTGCATATATGCATTGTACAAAGTTGCTTCAAAAATGTGTGGGCCCTGGGAGCACAAATATAAAATAAATGACAGTTAAAGTCTAAAATATATAATAAATGTAGTTTCTTAAATTTACTATAAAAAAATATATAGTAACATTTAAGAACATTTCTTCAGTGTGAATTAAAGAAGTGCATATATGCATTGTACAAAGTTGTTTCAAAAATGTTTGGACCCTGGGAGCATAAATATAAAATAAATGACAGTTAAAGTCTAAAATATATAATAAATGTAGTTTCTTAAATATTACTATAAAAAAATATATAGTAACATTTAAGAATATTTCTTCAGTGTGAATTAAAGAAGTGCATATATGCATTGTACAAAGTTGCTTCAAAAATGTGTGGGCCCTGGGAGCATAAATATAAAATAAATAATAGTTGAAATTTAAAATACATGACAGATAGATCCTTAAATATTACTATAAAAAAAATATACAGTAACATTTAAGAATATTTTATCAGTGTGAATTAAAAAAGTGCATATACGCATTGTACATAGTTTCC